AGGAGGAGGAGGAGGAGGAGGAGGAAGAGGAGGAGGAGGAGGAGAAGGAGGAGGAGGTGGAGGGGGAAGAGGAGGATGGGGATGGGGAGGAGGAGCAGGAGCAAGAGGAGGAGCAGGAGGAAGAGGATGGATTCGTGCCCAGAGCGACTTGTGCCCAACACGGGGACGAACTGCTTGACACCTGTTGTCCGCTTACGCACTCACAGCGGGCGAATACAACAAGCAAGCAGCGTGGCCCCGCCCAGTTGTAACTGAAACCGCGCAACCCAAGGAGGAGTACAGTTGGGCCGCTGAAGAAGGAACCCTTTTCGTTGGGGAGGGGCTCAGTGTTCCTTACTTGCTTTACAGTGTGGCTTACGTGATCCTTTTTGGGTTTTCTATGGGAAATCCAAGTTTAACTTACGGAAAGAGGGGGCCTCGCTCCTGATCTGCGGATCCTTGTGACAGCGGTTTGATTGTAGAAAGAGGAGAAGGAGGGGGGGGGGAGAAGGTTGCAGGGAGGTAGACGGCCAGGGCGTCGAGCTCATTCGCGAGACCCCCCGCGGCCGGTTCTCGCTGCCATTGGAGTCTCGGTCCGCGCAAACCGCCGGCCCCCGTGTCGCCTTGGCACCGCTCGGCCGCGTGCATCGAGGAGTCCAGGAGCATTTGAGTGCAGCCTGCGAAAAATGCACAGGGAATGGGACGTCCGAGCGATGGCGAGTCGCGCGAAGTTCCATTTCCAGGGTTCGCTGGGCGACCTTACAGTCGGGTCTTGCTTGTCCCCATGGGCTTCTGCGCGGAGCCCCGCCGATGCTTGCGCCAGTTATCCCTCCTCTCCCTTGCCCTATCTCCTCGTCTCTCCTCGTCTCTCCTCCTCCTCCTCCTCCTCCTTCTCCTCCTCCTCCTCCTTTTCTCTCTCTTTTTTTGTACTGGTCCTTATTCTCATTATTAGTATTCGTGATATTTTTATTAGTATTATTACTGCTATTGATATTATTATTATTATTAGTATTACCATTATTATTATCAATAATAATATTATTATCATTATTATTATTATTAGTACTATTATTCTTATTACTGTTTTTATTATTATTATTATTAGTCTTAGTATTCTTATTATGTATATTAACATTAGCACGATTGCTATTATTATTCGTATTAGTGGTATTATCATTGTTTTTCCTCCTCCTCCTCCTTCTCCTCCTCCCCCTCCTCCCCCTCTATCATAACCCTCCTCCTCCAGCCTGGCGGGCGCTCAGTTTCCAGCCGGACTTCTCGCCACACCCGCAAAAATCTGCAGGCTCTGCGTTCGGCCCATGGAGCCCCTTCGGCGGCATCTCCGCGGCACGGGTCCCCCAGACACGCAGTGAAGTCGGGCTTGTCCCTCAACAGGAGGAATATTCAAAGATAGTAAAAAAATGGTCCGAGGACGATTTTGTCTACCATTATTGAATACTGTTGGGGTATTATTCGGACTATTTGTCATTTTTCGTTCAAAATCCACCTGTAGGGGACATGCCCGACCTAAACATACAGTCGACCCGCATAGTAAGGATGAGCGACTTTCCAAGGTCACCCTTGCGCCCTTCCCCACTGGCCCATCCTTGGTCGCTTCCGCTGGCCGCGCCCCGCCCGCAGAGTGTCGACATGGCCTTCCAAGGCCCTTGCACCCTTACCGCGCGTCCTCACTGCACAGGTTGGCTGCATGACGTGTGACCTTTTGTAGTGCGGTGTTCCCTGAAGTCCCGACCCTTTCCACGAGGCCGGCTTTTCGTCCTGCTTCCCCTCGCTTGGCTGGTTACGGTTTGCGGGACGGGGGTCCATCATTCGGACGCCGCGTGCGAATGTAAGGAGACGAACAGCAGCAACTCTTTGTTGTCGCTGTTTTTGTTGGGGTCCGTTGGCGGTCGGGAGGCTGTGCTGGGAGTTCGGTGGGGGGGCTCCGAGGGCGGTTGCGTTTGTGAATAGTTCAACTTCCCGAAGAAGTTGCATTTGAAACGCGATTTCTTCCTCACCTCATGCCATCGCTGGGTTTTCGGGCCCGCTGGGTTTCCCAGCTGCCAGTTTGTGTCCGCCGGAGTCTTCAGCAGAGTCCAAAGTCAGAGTCCCATAGCTCCAGACTCGATGCCACGGAATCGGTGCGTCGGGGGGTCGAGGTTTTGTCTTATCCACACGTGCTCCCTGCCACCGCGCTCGCATCTCTTCGTCCAGTTGCCTTGGGCCCAAGCCCTGCAGTGCTGGATTGGGCATCAAGCCCACCCTTGCCCACCATTGCTGCCCGGTTCGGGTCTCGGGGGCATTGGTTCCTGGTTCAGCCGGGTCGCAGCTCTGCCTTCTCGGTCTGGTGCCATCTTTGCTGGTGTACCCGGGCAGGTTGCCTCTCGTGGCTGTGTGGGCGGCGGCCTGCTGCTGGGGTTCTCCGAAGCTTGCAGCCAGCTTCGCGTCCACTCGGGCTCGGGCGCGGGGCGCGGCCTTTGCCGCGTGCCCGCCTCGGCGGCTCGCGGGGGCTGGCGCTTGCGGTCACCGATGGTCTGGCCCGGGGCGAAGCCCACGCCCATCGCACAGCCGTCCCACCTATCCTTGTGGAAGTCGATTCATGGAGAGGAAACATGTTGTCAAATAATTTCCAGATGTCTGAATAGTGTGTCCAATATGTTTTTGCATATGTTAAAAGCATGTCTGAACACGTTTTTAGATTATGGTTTACACATGTTAAGCACATCTGTAGTTCAATGATAGGATTGTTAGAGTGTCCATTGCCATGACATCCACAAACCTATCCCAGCGTGCTGGGCGGGCGTGGCGGGGTGAGGTGGAGAGGTTGGGCCTGGATCTCGTGGCAAGGCTTTCGAAGGGGGCCGTTGCTCCCGTCCGCCCCTGCTTCTGGCCCGAGCACTGCACGGTTTGGTAATGGCAATGTTGCACGCTGTCGAATGTGTAATGAGTCGTTTTTTGCCGGTCCCGGCCAGAGCCCGAAAATTGCAAGCAGAAGTCCGGCTTGGGTTCTTTATAGGACACTGGGCGTATGGCCAACGTGGGTTAGGCCGTGCCCCGTATGGGCCCGCCTTCCCCCGCGCGCTCCCGCGGCGGGAGCGGAAGCAGCGGGGAGGCGAGGAGGTGGCGGAGGGGCCCGCGGGAGGAGGGAGAACAGGGGGGGGGGAGGAACAAGAGGAAGAAAGTCTCCTTGTCCTCCTGCTCCTTCTCCTCCTCCTCCTCCACCTCCTCCTCCTCCTCCTCCTCCTCCTCCTCCTCCTCCTCGTCCGCCACATCCCTTCTCCTCCTCATTCTCGTCGTCCTCCTCCTCCTCCTCCTTCTCCTGCTGCTCTTCCTCCCTTCTCCTCTTCGTCCTCCAGAGTAGGGGGTACGGGGCAGCTCGGAGCGCAGGTTTCTGCCATGGACTTCGGCCGTCTTGGCCAGCCGCCGAGCAGAGCCATTTTGGATCAGCGGGTTTGTTTCACCGCGCGGCGTCCGCGCATTGAGGCCGCAATGGCGCCCAAGAAGGCTCGGATCGTTTAACCAATCCCCATCCCCATCCCCATCCCCTTCGAGACCCCCACCAAGTCGCCACCCCAGTTGGGGATACAGCCCTCGAGACCCGAAGGGAACACCCTTACATCCCCATCTAGGAGGGGGTACCTCGGCCAGTGGGGCCCAGGCCACGCCGCTGGGGATGGGGATCGGTTCAACGATACTCAGAGGCTGAAGGCGGCGAGGCGAAGGCAAAGGGAGCCAAGAAGGCCTCTAAGGCGGCGGTCCGCCGAGAGCTGTGTGCAGTGCGAGTGGTGGTGGTGGGGAGGGGGGTTAGGCCTCCGAGGCCCTGGCGTCCGGCAAGCCCCGGGCCCTTTTCCCGGGGCCCGTCGCCCACTTCCCTGGGCGTCCTGCGCACGCGCAGGCGGCAGACATTGGCGAACTACGGCGGGGGGGGGCAGTGTGTTGTACGTCCGCCTGGTGCTCCGTGTGAGAGGGAGAGAGAGAGAGAGAGAGAGAGAGAGAGAGAGAGAGAGAGAAAAAAAAAAAAGAGAGGGGGGAGAACCAAGAGAGAGAGAGAGAGAGATTCCTCCGAACGTGTACTTTTTCCCATCTCACGAGAGGATCGCTGCCACTCTGGGTCCCCGTGGATGCGGGGAGGAGTCAAGATCGAGGCCTCTGAGCGCTCCGTGGGGCCTGACCTCCCCCAAGACGGCTTCAGCCGAAAAAGCGTCGGGTGCATGGGAGATGGAAGGAAAGCACGGCAAGAATCGATAATATGATATCGAGTGGGATGGCAAAGCGAGGGAGGGAGAGAGAGAGAGAGAGAGAGAGAGAGAGCGAGAGCGAGAGAGAGAGAGAGAGGAGAGAGAGAGAGGAAACAAAATAAAGAAACATGAGAGGGCGAGAGAGAGAGAGAACGCAAACTAATGTGAGAGAGAGGCGCAAAAAGCAGACGAGGAGGCAGAGCATGGACACTGAGGCTGGCACGGGAAGACCCCTCGGCTGCGGCCAGGGTTGGCCGAGAGCCCAATCAAGGTTTGCAAGCAGTCGGCCACCAGGTCAGTACGGCACCTCATCTGGTGCCGCACTGCACGCCTCAGAAGCACGGGCGCGGCCGGCGGGCTACGTTTCTCCCCAGCCGTGTGCGGGGGCAGGTTCGCCGATGGCGTTTCGCTGATGGCGTTCCGGGGGGCTGGCCGATGGCGCTTCGCCGATGGCGTTCCGATGGGCTTCGCTGGTGGCGTGCCGCAGGCAATTTCAGAGCAGCCAGCCTGGGTCACGCTGTCGTTCCTGGCCACTCTTTCGATGCACCAAGGGGCATTGACACGAAGCCTCTGGAAGCTCGGTTGATCCACCATGTGATCTTTTGGAGGAGTCCTGGAGATCAGTTGGTCCATCATGCTCCGAAATCCGGTTGGTCCATTATGTGCCGAACTTCGGCCGTATCCGAAGTTCAGCTGAACGACGGAAAGTCGGGGCCGCCTTCACCGGTGTTGGCGCGCAAGCGGTCTGCGTAAGGTCGCACGTGCGCGCCTCCGTCTTCAGTGTGGCGCGCCTCGCTGGCGGCCCTAGCAGGCTGCGGCGTCAAGGGCGCGACGCCCTCTCGCGTGGACGCCCGTTTCGGTGCGCCGCTCAGCTGGGAGAGGGCCCGGACTTTCGGCTCGGCGTGCAGCTCCGCCAGCTCGGGCCCACCTCGCGTCGGTGCGGCACGCTCTCCCCCAGGCCCCGAGCGCCAGCGCCCCGAGCTTCTCCCAGCCTCCCGCCCCCCGAAGGGGGGGGTGCGCACCCCGCACGCGCTCGCGAGGCACAGCGCGTCGCCGGGGCCGCCGCCGCGGCACGCCGAGCAAACGTTCCCGACCAGCTCTGGAGGTGTGCCCGCTCACTCCCGCCCCTCTGCAGGCCCGAGGTCCTGGGGGGGGTCGATGGTGCTGCCTTGAGAGTCGTCGGCCTGCGGGGCCGTCGTGGCCGCTCCAGGGGGGGCACAGGCAGGGCCAGCGTTGAGGGGAGGCCCTTCTCGCACGGGCACCCTGCATCCTCCGGTGCTGGCCAGCCTCAGCACGTTTGGGCGCGCGCGTCCTTGGCCATCGCGCCGTTCCAGGCGCTGCATCCTTGAAGTTTTTCCGTGTCACTGGTTTTCACTGTGTTGCTCGCCACCTGGGGCCAGCCAGCGCGGTGCGCGCGGGGTGCACGCGCGTCGCGGCGCAAGCGCCGCTCAGGTGTCAAAGGCCGTGAAGCAGAGCGTGTCGCGAAAGGCGCGGGGCCTCAGCATCGCGTCTGCCACATCCCCAAACATCGGGCGCCTCGAACCGATCGCGGCGGCCAGCTTGTCGCCATGTTTGGTATCTGGAGGCCGGTTTCAGGCCTCGGGCCGCAACAAAAACGGTTCGGGATGAGAAATGGATCGAGGGGTTCGCATCGAACATTTTGAGGCGAAAGTTGTCTGGGTTCTCATTGGTCCCTCATGAACTTGGAATATGGTAAGTAACTTGAAGGGTAGCAAGGGCACGTGCATGCACTTGTGTGGGAGCCAGCCGCGAGCATGTTGAACGACTCGACCAAGATTCTTTACCATTCGCATTCCTCACGGCCTAGCGGACGGCCTTGTTCTGTCAATTCCAAACATGCCGCCTCATGTGCAATCCAATATTTCGATGTCCAGCACCGCCCCCCTCACTCTACATCCCGATGCCTGGTAAGCGCCTGTGGGATCTGACTGTGCAGTTAGGTGCGCCGGGTAATTGACCGTCATACGCAAGGCTATGAACACTAGGCGTAGTACGCAACATTTGAGTTGGGTTGAGGCTCAGCTATTGCGCTTCCGACAACCCCCTATGGCTTAGCTGTACCCCCCCCGCAATTGTATACCATTGCCCAGTCACCACCTTCTACTGCCAGCCGTAGTTTGGTAGTAAGAATATACTAGATTTTGTTTGTTCTTCCATCCAGAAAATGGCACTACCTCCTCACATACGTCGTGTTAGGAGGAGGGTTTGCTGTGTGTTCCGATGCGCATCTTGCGTATGCTCGCAGGGTGGCGCGCAGCACCGTGTGCGCGGTCGAGTTGCTCTACCTCGGATGCAGTATCATCATGCGCGTGGCTTGTCTGTATAGGCTTGTGATGGTGATCAAGATCGTCTTGGGCGGTCACCACCAGGCCCCGTCGCCAGATCCGGCCCGGTACCGCCAGATCCACCCCCCCGTGGGAGGATTGCAGCCCCAGGTCCAGACAGCGGTGCCCCCTCGGGTTTCCGTGTGTGCCCGCCTGAGTACGGCGCGCCCCCTGGCTCGGCCCCAGGCACGTCTCCTGACACGACCCGGACACGTGCGCAGGCACGGCTCTGGGCGCGTCCCTCGGCACGCCGTCAGGCGCGTCCTCGGACGCGCTCCCACAAACGCCCCAGGACGTGCCCTGAAACGGCCACACAGACGCAGGCAGGGCCCCAGCCACGCCCTCAGGCACGCCACTGGACACCTCCAGGCACGTCCCCAGACACGCGAGACACCCTCAGTGGTCAGTCACGTCTCCAGGCATGCGCCTCAGCACGTTCCCAGGGAAGTTGCAGACACGGCCCGACGCGTCACACCAGGTACGTCCCTGGTAGACGCCCTCAGACACATCCCCAGACACGTCCCCAGGCACGGCTCCAGGGACGTCACCAGGCTCGTCAGGATACAGGTTTGGGGCGCTCTCGTGTTTGCTGCCTCGGCCTCCAGAGCTGCTGGGAGGTCCTCAAAGGGGTCCGCCGCTGGGGACTTTCACGGGCCAGCCTGGGGACGGAAGAGGGTCAGAGCGCCAAGGTAGTGGTCCAGGCTGTCGCTGTCCAGAGGTCTCGACCCTTTCCCCCCGGGGCCTCGTGGTCTCGCCCTGTACCGTCGTCGCCCTGGTGGCCCCGCAGCCCGAAAGACTGTTCCTGGGCGTCGCTAGATGATAGAAGGCGCAAACGACAAGGTGGTGCTTGTGTGCTCAGGGGCGTTGTGGGTCTGGCGGGACAGGGCGCCTGGGCAGCGTCCATTTCGATCCGATCGAGCCGGTTCGATGCCGATTTCGGCCTGCCCGATTTGACTCGATTCCGATGCTCCGACGGCCCGATGCGGCCCGATGCTTGCATGGCGCTGTTGTGCATCGTGGCGCAGCCGTTCCGATTCGACCTCGATTCCGTTCCGGCGCAGCCCGATCCGATGCACACTTCGATTCGATCCGAGTTGCTGACTCGGTGCTGATTGATCCTGCCTAGGTCAAGAAGACGCGCACGAACGTGCACTTCTTTAGGCGCGGCGGCCGCCTCCTCGCGTCCGCAGGCGGACTCGGCGCTTCGATTCAGTCGCTAGCTGCCACTGGCGCAGATCCTCTCCTCCGCCGCTGCCGCGCGGGAGGGGCAGCGTGGGCCAGGGGGGGGGTCTCCGTCTCCCTCCTTCCTCCCCCTCCCTCGTCCCTCTTCTCCTCCCTCCTCCCTCCCTCCTTCTCCCTCCTCTCTGTTCTCTCCTCCCTGAGGCGGGGGGGGGGCGGGCGCAAGGAGGACGGAGAGAGGGACCAGGGTGCACTCCAGAGACGCCATCCCTGTCACGCTGGATGCAGTGGCGATGGCCCCTTGCACTGTGGCAGCGCATCTCTAACGCGTGGCGGCAGTTCGAGAGTCGCCCAGGAGGCCGTGACATGTGGCATCTCTCTTCCCCACAGGCTCCCGCGGGCCGTAACCTCCGATGTGCCCTTCCTCAGGCTTGATAAGGCCGTTACGTATGAGAGTTGTCTCCCTCAGGGCCCAGAGAGCCACAACACGGGACACCGCTGAATTGTTACAGGATCGCAACATGCAGCAGCTCGCTTGCCGAGCGGAGAAGAGGAAGTAACATGTGGCACTTGATTCCTCCACTGCCCGACGGGCCGTGCCATGTGACGTGTAGATGTGATGTTGGCCTGCCTGGAGTTTGCTGGAGAGCTCCTTGAGAGCTTCTTCGGGCTTCTTGGGACCGTATTGTGGGTCCCCAGGCAAGCAAGCTTGGATGTTGTGGCTGTCTGATTGGGACCTGTAGTGGCTTTGGAAGGTGTTTGGGCGGCTCGGCGGGCGTCTTGCAACCGCCTTGGGTGATATTTGTGCAGTCTTGGGGCCATCTTTGGGGCGTGTTGGGCCTTCCTGGGAGCCGCTTGGGACGAGTACTGGGGCATCTTGTGACGTCGGGTGCGGAGACAAGTGAAATCCTCACATCTGTGAAAACGACATGTTTCATTGTTGTCTATGGCTGTTCGGTGACTTGGAGTTCTCTTTGGGCGTCGGAGAAGCCTCCTGGAGCCTCTTGGGCTTCGCCTGCGGCATTCGTCGGGGACGCTGAGGTTACGATGTTCCAACCTTCCTTAGCCTTGATCACTAGAAATAATGTCGAGCACCAGGAAAATACCGAAACTCGAGGGTTTTCTCGTGTCGGGCCCTGGGAGGCGATACTCGTTCGACACTGTTTCGATATTTTTCTGGGTGCTCGAAAGTATTTCTGGGATGTGGTCCTTAAGTTCGATGGGAGCAACATAACGCTGGGACCTTCCAGTTCACTCTTGGAGGGACGGGATAGCGCTGGGGAGGCGTTGGAGCGCCAGGAAGTGTCGGAAGGAGGAGGAGGAGGAGGAGGAGGAGGAGGAGGAGGAGGAGGAGGAGGAGGAGGGGGGGGGAGGGCTGGGGAGGGGGAGGAGGAGGCGGAGGACGAGGAGGAGGAGTGATATTGGAATCAGCAGAGGTCTTGCTCCGTCTTCGGCTTTTCATCCTTTCTTGCCCATGCACGGATGTAGTACTCCTCCTTGTCTGACTCGATTCGTCAGCACTGTCGCCCCGCTTGATTGCCGATGGGTTTTTCATCGTGGACAATGCTGCTCCGGTTCCTTGTCTGCACGCTGTGGACTGGTCCCGCTGCCATGCATGATACATTGGTAGGAGGGCATAAGATGATCAATTGCCTTGCCGCACCGAAGGTGTGTGACGCCCCTATTGGTCTCGCCCATCCTAATCGCAATCCCCGCAGGCCCAAGACCTTGCTCACCAAGCGGGCCCCAAAGTACGCCCGCAAGCCTGCAGCTCGGTTGCGCGACTGTCGCAGGGGATTACGCTGGCCATGCGTCTCTGCTTGTGCTTATTCCCCAACTCCGCCCGTGTCCCTCTCTCTCTATATCTCTTTCCATGTTTCTTTATTTCTTTCTTTATTTATTTTTTCTGTCTCTGTCTATATAATTATATGTATATATAAATATACTCCTCTACTCATGTTATTATAAGGGACCCTCCCCTAAATGAATTCGGCTCTGGGCGCTCCCACCGGCGTGCAGTTCGAAGAGTCAGTTCCGGGAGCCCCTCCCGGCCATCCCACACCGCCCGAGCAGGCCCGATTGGCCCTATGAGGCACATGAGCCTCATGGATTCATGTTCCTGAGCCCTACGACACCTATGAGCCCGACTACCCTTAACGAGCCCTTCGATCCCACGAATCCTACTACCCCTGTCAGCGCTACGAGCTCTCTGAGCCCCATCAGCCTCATTTGCCTTATGAGCCCTACGACCTCCACGCACCACATAAGCTGACGTCCCCAATGCGCCCTATGACCCTATGACCCTCATGACCTCATACACTTTCCAACCCCTAAGGAGCCCCATGATCCCGATGAGCTCACGAGCCCTGCGATCCCTCCGAACCCTATCACCCCTACGAGCCCTCTGAGCCCTACGACCACCGTGTGCCCTCCCAGAGGCCCCCCAGACACCTCTCCTCGGAGCTCTATGAGCCCCGTAAGCCCTACTTGCCCATGAGCCCAATGAGCACCGCATGAGCCCGACGCGCCCGAGTCCTATGCGCCCTACGACCCCGGTTAGCCCGAGCCCTTCTCTCGCCCATTTGTTCCTCGCCTCGCTCCAGTCGCCATTCAACTCGAAGTTCTTCCAAATGGCGCTCTGCTTCCATTGCGTTCCAAATGGCATGGCAGCAAACCCGCCAGCCAAATGCAAACATCGATCCACAGAACGCGACGTACCATCTTTGGACACGCTCGACGACACTATTTTCATTGCGTCGTCGGCAACTCTCTCATCTACTTGCCGCGCCCACGCCGTTCCGTGCCCTATCAGCCCCAAGGAGCCTCCAGAGCCCTATGAGCCGTATGAGCCCATATGGGCCCTATGAGCGCTATGACCCCGACGACCCGTCATGAACCCTTAGCTTTATGAGCACGGTGGGTACAATGACCCATACGAGCCCCCTGAGCTTCATAGACCCGATGAGCTCGCCCGCGTTATGGGCCAAAGAGCGCGTGGCTTCTGTTTGGCCAAGGACCCTACGAGCCCTAGAACCCCAATGAGCTCATCAGTCCGAGGAACCCTACGCACCCCGTTACGCCTGCTGGCCTTCGGAGCCTCATAATCCTCATGAGCCGCGCTAGCTGAATTACCCCTCTGCCCAATTAAGGCTCCGAACCTCGAAGCACCAATGGCGGTGGAGAGCCCTTTGAGCCCTCTGGCCCAGCAGAGCCCATGGGCCTTATCAGCCTCGCGTGACCCACGGACCCTATAGCCGAGAGCATCGCGGTACTGGCGTGTACTGGTCTCGGCGAGCCTCTCTGGCGCCATGCGACCAAGATTTTAAAGGCGAAGCGAAGCGAGACGGTAATATCTGGTGTATACATACATACATACATACATACATACATACAAACATACATACATACATACATACATACATATATATATATATACACATGCATGTGTCTCGCTTTCTTGTTGTGTGTGTGTGTGTGCATCTGCCGCGTTGATAGTGCATGGCTTGGCCACGTCTTTTGGTTGCCGTGCCATCTCTTGTCTAATACAGCCGTGCCGCGGTTGTCTGCAAGTGACCCGTACGTCTCTCTTTCCGACCCTTATTCCTAACCGATTCGATCCGATATTTCGTTCCCCTACCCTAGCCCAGTGTAAGTTCCGCGAGGCCACAGAGCATACATCATCTTGGGCTGACTATATGAAGCGGTCTGCATGCTCTTTGGATCAGTATGACCGCACATGCGGTCCGGGCAACGGATGGACATTCAATCGACTAGGGATATTGAGTTTGCTGGTCGCGCTTCCTCAGGATTAGCACGTGCTCGAACCAGCTGTTCCTGGAGTGGGCGCCGTGCCCCAGAAGCAAGGAGGCAGCCGACGGCGCTGACAGGCTTCCCTGGTGTTGGGGGAGAGTCCTTGGCCGCGCGGGGCACGCACACGTCAGGTCGCCGTACGCGTGCGATGTACTGGAGCAGGAGTGCAGAGTGCCCTGCCCTGCCTGCCCCGTCGCATCGTGTCCTGCCGCGTCCTCGTCGTGCCCGCGCTCGCCGTACGGCCGGGCCTGCCCGACAACGCGGCGGCCCGAGCAGGCAGCCAACAAGCGGCCCAGGTTCCCTGGAGCTCCCCAGAGGCCTCAGAGCAATGCCACCTTGCATGCTTATCCTCGATCCCCCTCCCCCCCCCGCTTCTCTCGACGAGCACAAATCAGGGCAGCGTTGTTTTTGTTGCTTTCTGTTTTTGTTGTTTTGCTGTTTTCGGCCTCCTGGGGCCCTCCCCGGGCCCCAGGGCCGTCAGAGAACGGCTGAAAGGCCCGGTCCCGCGGAGCAAAGGTCCGCACCCTCCGGGGGACCGCGCTGCGAAAAGGGCTTAAGACCCTCGGAGGCCTGGGCCGATGCAGAGCGGCCTACCCTCGACCTGCACCCTCCGCGCCTGCCGCGCGGCGTGTGCCGCCGCAGCGGCGGCACCCCCTGCACTCTCGGAAGGTGCGGCAGGTGCAGGTCGAGGGGGCGGGCGCGCGCGCCCCAGACGTGCGACGTCCTGATCCTTTCAACGCGGGGTCCCTGGAAGTCCCGACCCGTTCCCCAGGACCGGTGTTTCGTCCTGGGTCGTTTATTTGGACGGTCTCGAGGCCCGGCGAGGGCCCCCCGAGGCCGAAAGCGGCCAAACACCGGCCGTCACGATTCTTTTTTTTTACGACGCGATCATGCCTGGGGCGGGAAGCTCGGTGGGGCGGCTCGAGGCAGTCGGGGTGCCAAGGTCCGTCGCGGCCCGCGACAAGATGGACAAGTACCGGATCATCGAGTGCCCCGTCACCACGGAGGCGGAGAAGGAAAAGAAGGAGGAGGAGGAGGAAGAGGAGGAGGGGGGGGAGGGGAAGGAGGGGAGGAGGGGGAGGAGGGGGAGGAGGAGGAGGAGTAGGAGGGAGAGGAGGAGGGGGGGGGGGGAGGAGGGGAGGAGGGGAGGAGGGGAGGAGAGGGCGGAGGACTAGGAGGAGGAGGACTAGGAGGAGGAGGAGGAGGAGGAGGAGGAGGAGGAGGAGGAGGAGGAGGAGGAGGAGGCGCGGGCGGGCACCGGGCACCCGGGCACCGGCCGCGCCCAGCTGCCTGCGGCCTAGACGGGTCGCCAAAGCCCTTCGGAGAAACCCTCCGGGGAGCGCACACGGTGGCGGCGTCTCGGCCGCAGGCAGCTGGGCGCGGCCGGTGCCCGGCGCCCGCCCGCGCCTCCTCCTCCTCCTCCTCCTCCTCCTCCTCCTCCTCCTCCTCTCCTTCCTCCTCCTCGCCCTCCCCTCCTCGGGTCGCCTACGGCCCCAGGGGAAACCGTCCATCGCTCCCGGGCGTGAAGATAGCGACCCTTCGCGCGAAGATAGCGGCGCTTCGCGCGCGAAGATAGCGACGCTTCGCGCACGAAGATGACGACGCTTCGCGCGAAGACGACGGCGCTTCGCGCGCGCGAAGATAACGCGCGCGAAGATAACTACGCTTCGCGCGCGAAGGTAGCGACGCTTCGCGCGAAGCTAACGACGCTCCTGAGGTCACCCCCAGGGGCGCGAAGGTAACGACGCTTCGCGCGCCGCAGCCAGGGCGGCCGAGCTGGCCTTCTCCGAGGCTGCCTCGCGAGGGTGCGAAGGCAGCCGCACCGCCGCGCATCGTGGGGCGGGGTGCGCCAAGTTGGGTGGCCCGGGCCTCGGTGGAACCACCGTGGCGCCATTCGGCACGCAGCGCTACTAGTGGCGCTGGCCGTAGCGTGGCCGTACTGCACGAGGCCGTAGCGTTTGCCACGCAGCAGCGCTGGCCGTAGCGGTTGGCACGCAGCGCAGTACTGCACGAGGCCGCAGCGTGGCGCTGCCGTCACGTCGCACGGAGTGATTGTTGCGCCCGGGTCTCAGGGGAGTCTCGGAGGCCTCGTGAGAGGACCCGAGAATCTCGACGCGCGCGGGCAGAGCGCCGAAGGCGCCGCCAGGCGTTTGGGGGAGAAGGAGGTTGGGAGGGGGGGAAGCGGGGGGGCAGAAGGAGGGGAGGGGGGGGGGGGAGAGGGAGGGGAGGAGGAGCGAGGAGGAGCGAGGAGGAGGAGCGAGGAGGAGCGAGGAGGAGGAGGAGGAGGAGGAGGACCAGTGCAAGCCCAAGACGCATCAGCCTTGTTGCTATAAACCCTCCTCTGGGTTCCCGCTCCATAGGTCACTGCAGGAATTTGCACTCGTTGCGGGAAGTGTCCCATTTGAGGATAACCGTCTGAGTATCTTCAACCGTGCAAAAAACATCCAGGGGTTTCAGCGCCGCGAATCAACCTAACCGCTGCGTCTTGACAATGCGAAACCATGCCAGAACACAATTCCTGAGACTTCAACACAGCGAATCAACGTGACTGTTGCATCCAAACAAGTTTATACCGCTCAAGAAACCCGTTCCTGGGGCTTCAGCCATACGAACCCTTGCTTCGGTTGCAAAAGTGTGAAATGGATTCGCCCAGCGCTATGGCGAGAGCCATATTATGGAAATTGCCCGCCTTCCACCTTTGAAACTGTTGCAAACTTTCAAAGCGAATGTGCGCGGCGCTGGAGCGAGAGCCACATTTTGAAGATGGCCCGCACTCCACCTGTGAAATTGCTGCAAACGTTGAAGACGAGTGCGCGCAGCGCTAAGGCGAAAGCCACATTTTGAAAACATCCCGCCTTCCATCCTTGACACCGTTGCAAATTTTTGAAACGAGTGTGAGCGGCGCAAAGGCGAGAGAGGCATTTTGGAAACGGCCCGCTCTCCATCCATGGAGCTGGTGAAAATTGCAAGCTTCAGGGTCATACAGGATGAGGAAGTCTCGGGCGAAACGCCCAGCCCGCCCTACCGACACGTCCGGGGGTGCGACAGGGACGAGTTATTTATGATGAAAAGGGATCGAGCAGGAGGAGGGGGAGGAGGAGGAGGAGGAGGAGGAGGAGGAGGAGGATGAACGCGGGGGAGGGGCGGCAGCGCTGATCTCAGAAGCCCGAGCGGACCTATTTTTGTTGTGCCTGTGCGCCGTGGGTTGGGCGGCCTAAGACGATGACCATAAGATGTCGCGGGGTCTTGTGGACACCGATCTTGGTCATGGTCTATGCCGACCGTCGCCGACTCGCGAGGATGATCCGCGAATCGATGGTGACCAACATGGACGGTGACCGAGATCGGCACGGACGTTTTCGCGTGCGCTTAGTTTTGGTCATGGTCATCTGTTTCTTTCCTTCCGTCCGATCCGACCGATCCGATTCGATATCGGATTCGGTAGGCCCGATCCGATTCGATCGGCACCGCTGTGCGTCCTGGCGCGGCAGGTCGGGTTCGGTTCCGGCTCCGTGCCGATGCGGCCCAGTCCGAGCTCGGGTGTTGCTAGCAGTGCCCCTGGCCCAAGGTGCTCCGAGGACTTCCAAGGGGGCCCCCACGGACTCCAGAGCACCCCTCACGAGGCCCAGAGGGCCCCGGGTGCTCCAGAATTGAGCGAAAAGCTCGGGGCGGGCCAGGGGCGCCCTTGGCAACCCCTGGCGAGTTGTCGACTCGGTGCCGCCAGCTCCTGCCAGAAGGCTTCGGATGGTCTCCGGCGGGCCGTGGGGGAGGTCTCCGGAGGGCAACGTGGAGGGCTTCGGAGGGCTCCAGCACGGTGTGATGCTTCGGGCTCGACCCAGACGGCCCCCCCGAGGTCCCGGCTGGCCTCGACGGGCCCCCCGAGCACGTATGGCCTCAGCTGGCCTCAGCAGTCCACCCGAGCAGCCTGCGGCAGTCTAGACGCCC